CAATCCAGATGTTTGGTCAATGTTCCTTAATAGCATAATCGGTACCCCTTTTTTCAAGACTATTTTGTGGGTTGGGATTCCTAAACATTTGATTTCGTTCAAAAACTCAACTGTTATCCAATCGCCATCAACACCTACATCTGCTTCTGCTTGGCACGAAGAATCAAAACTCAAGTACTTCTTTTCATCACCAGGAATGAGAGACAGAACAAATTCATTTATCATTTCAACTACTTCGAGAGTTGGTGCCAATAGTGCTTTATCATCATAAAAGAATAATTTTTTATATTTTCAAACATAAGTCATTTCCCAATATAAGACTTAAACCTTTTCAAATTATTCATTTTTCATTTTTCAAATTTTCCATTTTTCATTTTTCATTTTTCAAATTTTTCATTTTTCATTTTTCAAACTTTTTCCCAATATAATTTTTCAAATTTTTTATTTTTCATATCTGCACTAAATAACACTAAAACAAAAGTCATTTCCCAAAATAAGACTTAAATTTTTTTCCCTTAAATAACACTTAATAATGTCTAGAAGGAGAAATAATATTCTGTGACGGTGAACATTTGTCTAAATAATGACTAATGGATAATGACTAATGGATAATGACTAAAAGTGCTACATTGGAAAATAAAAAACATATGTTGCTATTTAGGGAAAGTCATTATGTTTTAGTGTTATTTAGGTAAATTCCTCTGACTATGAATATATATATGGAGTATCAATTATTTCAGTTGAACACAGCTTAGTTGCCATTTTGATAAATGAATTACGTGTTAGATATAAGTAAATTTTCCAAATTAAAATTATATTTGAACTTTGAATTATTTACATTGATCATTCCGTATCAATGCCTTTTTTTTTTCCTCGCATGCATATCATTTTGTTTTAAAATATGTACTCACATTTTTTTATATTCACCCATTTCATATCAAATTTATTGCAAAGTTTTGAATTTTAATTAAAAGATTTTAAATACGAATATGTTTTTACTCAACTTTGTCAATATTCGTCCATTCAATTGTTTAAAATATTCAATATGTATAAACTATTTTTTTCCATAAAAAATATAGAAAAATGAAATTAAAGAGTCATGGTTAGACATCATTTTATTCCTATTGATGTAAATATAAAATTGATAAAAATAATCAGTGAGCTATATGCATGCCTAGATAAATCAACAATTATACATTTTAATTATCCATGATTTTTATGCAACCTATGAACGACATTTAATTTTTTTACGGATGCAGATTATAATTGATAAAATAACATGACTATAAAATAACATGACTAAACATATATTTTTATCTTTTCTTGGAGTGTTCATTTTCACATGCAGAATTTGTTAAATCCTTCTAAATTGACATCTAATATTAAATTTTGTATAAAACTTTTTTTATTTAACATAAATTAATTTATCTATACTAATGATTTATATATGAAGATAAGAAAATTTTTCAATGCTCATTAAAAAGCAACCATATAAATTTTAAATACAAAAATTCTGGTCACTAACATATCCCATTTCATTTTGTTATTTTAAATAATTCAAAAATGTTATGCATCAAATTACCTTAAAACAATAAAACAAAATTAAATGTATTAAGATAAAACAATTTTTAAAGTGC